TTTCACACATTCAAACTTAATTTAACTTCTGTTTATATATTTCACACATTCAAACTTAGTTTAACTTCTGTTTATATATTTCACACATTCAAACTCAGTTTAACTTCTGTTTATATATTTCACACGTTCAAACTTAGTTTAACTTCTGTTTATATATTTCACACATTCAAACTTAGTTTAACTTCTGTTTATATATTTCACACATTCAAACTTAATTTAACTTCTGTTTATATATTTCACACATTCAAACTTAGTTTAACTTCTGTTTATATATTTCACACATTCAAACTTAGTTTAACTTCTGTTTATATATTTCACACATTCAAACTCAGTTTAACTTCTGTTTATATATTTCACACATTCAAACTCAGTTTAACTTCTGTTTATATATTTCACACATTCAAACATAGTGTAACTTCTGTTTATCAAATACGTACATGTTCTAACGCGCTAACCAATCAGTTCATACTGTAATTACTTTAGACTATATGGGTTTCCTTTAACACAACATTTTGCTGTCTTCAGTCATCCTTGTCAAAATATTAAGTACAATTAGAGAAAGTTTAGAAGATTCTCGTTAGCGTTGAACTTTGAACTCATTCATAGCGCACATTGTCTTGTCTGCGTTCCTTTCCAGGAAATTCTTTGAAGCCCCTAAACGTCTGAGGATTTCCTCCATCAGACTATAGTTTTTAATTTCCTTATTTCGTCTATCAGACTATAGACTTTGATTTCCTTATTTCGTCTATCAGACTATAGACTTTGATTTCCTTATTTCGTCTATCAGACTATAGACTTTGATTTCCTTATTTCGTCTATCAGATTATAGACTTTGAATCCGTACCTAGTTTACCTACTAAACATTTTACTTCCTCTACTTCCTTTTACTCCTACTTCTCCGTTTTTGTTAGTTAATACCCACCCCTACTGTTCCTATTTAAATATAAAACAACTTTATCGAGCCTCCGTCATTATTACAGTAACAGCGGGGTGCAGTGTTATGCGAATTCAGAAACTAATCGTTGAAGTTTTACAGCTAAAGTTACCAAAGCATTGTGTACAATTTCATTTGTGCAGAATGCTCTGTTTGTTGGCATGGCGACACATCTCCAGCTTCTCTGCTGAACCTGTAGCATCTCGAGTGTCAAATCCTAGTCGATCTACACGCTGCAACAACATCAGTCATGCTATGTTCCACATTGATTGTGTTACTATTATTGGACTCGATTACCAGACTAGACACGAGCACCAGTGTCTACCTGAGTAAATCAGCTTTAGCCACGCGATAGAACGATCATGTTTATCAATCCGTGCTCAAGATGTTTGAGGTTGTCAACAACTTTAAAGTTTGAGGTTATATATATAGTTTTAGAACACGAAAGTTTCTCGGTCTTTTTTATTGAGTGAAACTTGTTGTCAAAGAACTTTTTAGGAGTTTCTTTTTTTTCGATAATTTACCAATTCTTCCACCCATTTGTGAACCAGCTAATCTATTATTCACTAATAATTTTTATCCATTCTTTCGTTCATCAAAACATTATTGTTTCATTGTTGTTAAGCCCAAAGCTACACAATGGGCTATCTGTGCTGCGCCTACCACGGGTATCGAAGTCCGGTTTTTAGCATTGAGACTTACTACTGAGCCACTGGGAAGGGAAAAAATCAGTTTAATTATTAAGAGTCTACATGCTTATAAAACATTTATTCATCGTCCCCCCCCCCCACCCAGTGGCTCAGCGGTAAGTCTGAAGACATATAACGCTAAAATCTGGGTTTCGATACCCGTTGTGGGCACAACACAGATAGCCATTGTGTAGCTTTGTGCCTAACAGCCCATAAAAAATCAATTTATCCAATACTTCTATGTAATCAAATCGATAAAAGCCATTAATCAATCACGAAATCAAATGCTATGAAATAATAGCTATGATTTATCTATTCATGATCTCAGTGTATATCTGATAATGTTTTATTCTTTCTTTATAAAGTCTTTCATTTTTTGATCACCTATTTAGATTTCAATCTAATTATTGATTATATCTTTTATCGATTTTTCCAGGTAGGATGTTTACCTACACACGCGGTTCTGTGTTGTTGTTTTCAGATCAATATTTGAGAATCAACATTTAATCTGTTCACTGTAGTAAACTTTGGGGTATATGAAAGTAGGCGTCCATGCTTATGTATTGGACTAGTTAATCATGCAGAGTTTTTTTACTAAACATCTTATCTTACATCCTACTCCGGTAAACTTGGTACGGAGAGTAGGATGTAAGATAAGATGTTTAGTAATAACGAGGAGTATGATGTAAGATAAGATGTTTAGTAATAAGGAGGAGTAGGATGTAAGATAAGATGTTTAGTAAAAGGAGGAGTAGGATGTAAGATAAGATGTTTAGTAATAACGAGGAGTATGATGTAAGATAAGATGTTTAGTAATAAGGAGGAGTAGGATGTAAGATAAGATGTTTAGTAATAAAGAGGAGTATGATGTAAGATAAGATGTTTAGTAATAAGGAGGAGTAGGATGTAAGATAAGATGTTTAGTAATAAAGAGGAGTATGATGTAAGATAAGATGTTTAGTAATAAGGAGGAGTAGGATGTAAGATAAGATGTTTAGTAATAAGGAGGA